TACTCTTCTCTTTCTCTCATCTCTTTATTCGATAATAACAATTCTCTTACCATATTTATTGAATCAATTAATCTATCATTTAATTATGCTTATTCAAATTTATTAACATCGTCTTCTGAAGATTCTTATTCTAATTATCTCTATTGATTTTTTTATAATTTATTAAAATTACTCTTTGTATTAATATTATTAATATTTTAATTATTATCCTTCTTTTAAACAATATTAGATAAAAATTCTATTTGTTCATTAGCCTTACTCAATTCTAATTTTAAACTATTTAACTATTATTTTAATTCATTAATAACTTTTAATTTTGGATCATCATTTTTTATTGGAATATTGGTTATATAAGCTGCCTAAGTTAATGTGTGATCTATACTTTTGTAGCATACTACAATGTTGATAAATTTTCATCATAGAATATATCTAAAGGTGCAATACAAGCAATCATTAAACAGAAACAATTTCCTCCTATAGATTACTTCAATAAACAAGTTAATTTTGAATCTCTATAAGGAGGAATAGTTTTATTATTTGTATCACTCAAAATTGCTATTACCTATCTCAAAGTCATTAATGATTTATTAATCTCTATACTCTCCTTAGCTTATTTACCTTCAGTACCTGTTATACTGATTCTTTCTGATCCAGCTAAATCTACTAATTCTAATTTAGATGTTATGAAATAATCTGGATTTTTTAGATCTATGCTTTCTATCTTTATTTCGAATATAGAATGGCTTCTAGAAGATGAAAAATTTAATTTATGACTTGCTGTTATTCTATTTCTACTTCCCAATTTAAATAATTTAATAACATCATCAGCTGATTTACATTGATAAACAAATAGATTTTCAACTAAAAACTAATCCCTAACATTCCATCTCATTTTCAAACCATTAATTGGGATACTATAATTAGCTTTACTTGTTTCCCCCAATAGATCGTAAATTTTTTCATTATAAATTTACAAATAAGAACAATAGACTGAGTAATCTCTTTGAAGTGCATTCTATTTTATTTTATTAAACAAACTATGAATGGTTTTAGGAATTATTCCATCATGCTTAATTGCAATTCCTTCATTATCTCGTTAACCTTCCATTGTATATGTTTTTCCAGACCCTGTTTAACCATATGCAAAAACTGTCACATGATATCCATCAATAACAGATTATACTAATTCATCTATTTCACAACTCTTATAAACTTAATCTTATGATGCTGTCTCAGGTAACACATGATCGAATCTACTTGATTTACATGTTACTTATAACTTTTTTTATTTCTCTCTTCTTTTATTATTATTTCCTATCCATTCTAATCTATTTTTGTATTAAAATTTCCCTATTTTTTTTCAATATCTAATAAAGGTCTAATACGAACTGCCACTCTTATTTTTTATTGATTTTACATTTAGTTTAATATAAATAAAAATAATTTAACTAAAATATATTCATCTTCACATTGTTAACTTATACATCTCTTAATCTATATAACAAAAAACCATTAAAAATCAACAGACATTAACATAATTTTAAATTATTAATTTTTTCTAGAGAAAACCACTTATTTCATTTATTATTACTAGGAGAGTATTACTTTATATATTTTACTTAATGAGAATTCTAATGGAATAGTATATTGCTTATTGAATTAATGATACCTTAAATATTTTATTTAAATGGATTGGTTGAATCAATTAATCAAGAACAAGTGTTTGAAAGAGATCAATCAATTCTTAAGAAGGGTTTTCACAAAAAGTTATGAAAATAGCATTTTATTAGAATATTAAAGAAAAAAAAAAAAATTTGCAATCAGGACTTGAATTTCATCAAGTAGCGTTTGATGGATACCATTTCTTCTAAGGCTTTTTAATTCTAATCTTACAATACTCTGGCCTTTTAGAAGTATTCTTCTAATTTTGGTAATTTAAAGGCAGATTTTACTTTTTCTGATTTCTAGTTATTTTGCTTTATTTATGGTAACATTATTTAATTAATATAATATATTTATATGCGTAATCTATCAGTTCTTTTTATTTGCTATTTGTTATTTAATTTAAGCTGTTTCAGGTCTCTTTTGTTTATTTAATGGAGACAAATATTATCCAAAATATTAAACATAAGTTTACTTCAATTATTCCTTAATTGAAGGTGATTAAGATCTCTGTCCCTAATTCAAAAGAGGAGAAGCATTATATACAGGTGATTATGATCTTTACTTTTTATCAAAATTTGCTCTTATTCCAGATGGTTTAATATTCTCTAATTCTTCTAGTGCTCTTTTGATAGGACTGACTTCATTTTCATGAGTTCTTTTAAAAGTATATCCTTAAAAATGATTTTATTCTCTTCCTCTTTTCTCTTAAGTCTGATACCATGGATCTTATTCATCAAATTTATCAAAGTTGGCAGTAATTTTGGATTTATCAGGAATATATGGTGCTTTTAAATTTCTCATATTTTCCCAATCAATTCCATTAAAAAAAGGATGTTTTTTAATTAAATTTACATCTCCTAATCTTTCAGAAGAATCAGCCATTAATCTCTTAATTAAATCAGCACAAGCAGGTGATATTTTTGGTTCTTTTGGAATTGCAAAATGTTTCTTCCAATTTACAATTTTTTAACATGTTTTTTATGGAGTATCACTATAAAATGGTGGATAACCAATAACCATTTCAAATAATATAACTCCAACACTCCACCAATCTACTAAATCATTATATCCTTTCTATGAAAATACTTCTGGTGCAATATAATCAGGAGTTCCAACAGTTGAAAATGCTAATTATCTTCTAGTCTATTATTATTATGTATCTTATTTTCTTTCTGTATATGGAATTGATAATATTTCATTTTATTTATTTCCTAAATGTTTACATAAACCAAAATCTGATAATTTAAGATGTCCATTTTCATCAATAAGAATATTATCTGGTTTTAAATCTCTATGTATATAATTTAGTTTGTGCACAGCTTCAATTGCTAGCACTATTTCAGCTGTATAAAACTTAGCCTCTTTTTCAGGAATGATATCCTTTTTTATCAATAATGTCATAAAATCACCACCACTTAAAAATTCCATTACCAAATATAAGTATTTTTCATCTTAAAATGAATATTTTAATTATACAACCCATGGACAATTAGCTTATACTAGTATATCTCTTTCTGCTCTTATATGTCCTAATTAATTTTTAAATATCATCTCAGACTTCTTCATTTTCTTTATTGCTACAATCTCTTTAGTTTCTTTGTCTCTACAAACACGAACCTCACCAAAAGCACCTCTTCCAATTATTGCTATTGGTTCAAAATCCATCACTGTGATCTTCTGTCGCCTTGAAATGATAAATTATTCACTTTTTTCTTAGCTATATGGCCTCTTTATGTAAAATCTCCTTCTTAATTAACTCTTATTCAATTGGAGTGAAATTCAAATTCTGCATATTTTATTACAATTGTTGCCAAATCATCTTCTTTTCCATTTCCTATTACAGACTTAATTGATATTTTCTTTCAATGTATGATTTGCATGCAGCAACTCTATCTTTAGTTTAATTGCTAAGTTTGACTTCAGCCATTATAATTATTTATAAAATTTATTAAAAATATTTCAACCTCGCCATCTTATTGATTATATATCTTTAAAATACTTTATTTAATAAAACAATTTAAATGATAAAATACAATTCTATTTTGATTATTAGAGATATCTTTAAAACAAAAACATTTATATAAAGTTTGGTAATTATAAATATAATATATATAATATAATCTAATTATTACATATAATTAGAATTATAGAGTTTGTAATTTATTAGTTTAAGATATTTATTATTACTCTTACATAAATAATTTTGGTTTAATTTTATTATATATTCTAAAATTATTATATTTATTATGAATAATTTACATTGTTAGAAGAAAAAAAGGATTCATGAAGTCACTTATGCATAAAGAGTCATCAATTCTGTTAAACCAGATATAGAAAATATCAAATTAAATGAAAACTTATTTTAAGCTCAATAAATGGCTAAACATTCATCTACATTAATTAGAGATATTTAGAAGGATGTTAGATTGACTCTTAAGAAATATGATTCATATATTAAGATAAGTGAATCTAATAGAAAAATAACTGATAATAAATTTACCGAATCTACTAGAAGGTATTAAAGTGAGAGTCCACTTAAATAATAAGAATAAACAGAAAAGGAACTTGAAACTTTAAGATAATAACAAAGAATTTTAATAACTCTCCTTAACAATCTACAATAATAAGAAAAACTAATCGTTTCATAAACATCTCCTAATCCTGAACCATATCCTAAACCAGTTATTGATAAATAATGGTTTGAATAAAAAACTAAATAATTATAGTAAATTTAAAAATCATAAGCATAAATTGAAAATCCATCATCAAAAAGATTAGAAAAGAGTGATGTGATATAAATTGATCTTAGCAAAGTTAAAAGATCACCTAATAGTAAATCAAGTTCTGCTTAACATTTTTTCAGTCCAACTAAAAATCCTATTAAGAATTCAGTTACTTATTTTTAAAATTAAACATCAAGTTATGCAAAGTTACATAGAAAATAATCTAATTCTCCTTAAAAATGGGGTTAATATGGAGTAATAGGTTAATAGAAACCAGAAAAAAATTTAATGGTAAGTAAAAGGAATGAATAATGGAAATAAAGAGTAGATAATAAGATAAGGAATGAAGTACTAAAAAAACAAGAGAAAGAAATAAAAGCATGTACATTTAAACCTAAAATCTTGTCTAAAACTCCTAAGAGTAATCACAATAGTAAAGAAACATCAACTGATTTCAATGATATTATGTTTTTAATTGATGATATTAATGAGTTTAATGATAAATTCAAGAGATCAACAATTAAAAAATGATTACAATCATATATATATATATATTTTAAAATATAAATTTATTAATTTTTGATTAAAAAAAATAAATATTAGTTTTCATCATCAATAAAATATTCCTTAAAAGTAATATTAAAATTTATCATACCACTTTGCTCTCCAATTATCAAGAGATTAATTGATTAAACTAAATAATTATATAAGATATTTTTTTACTTCTAAGTAAATACTGAAATTTCTCCATCATTTGAACAAGCTGGATTAAATCTTGATTCAAGTTCATGTATAGCACTTTCACCTTTACTAAAACATGGTAATGTATATCCATGTCCACTATACATCATTTTAACAAGTAATAGAATTTAATCTTAATGTTTCTAACAAGCAACAAATCCTTTAAAAAATAATTTTCTAAAAAGATTAAACATTTCAGATTTAGTTCCTCCCAAAACATCAATATATTCAGAGAGTAATTTAAATGGTACATTTTTTTCAAATTCCAATCCTTTTCCTGGTGATATACTAATAAAAAATCCAAAATCAATATGTAAGATTTTACCAGATTTATGTAATAAAATATTTCCATTGTGTCTATCTTTTATTTATAAAAAATAACAAATTAAACTATAAGCAGCTAAACTACAACAAAAATTTCTTTAAGCCTTATGTAAATTAGATCCATAATATTTTTTGAAAAAAAGACTTAAAGTAATATCTTTATCAATAGAATTTAATTTCTTTTTAAGTGAATCTATTGTTGCTGCATCTTTAACCATTTCCATAATACCTGAACTAGGTCCTAAAGATTAAATATCATATGTTGTTAGTTTTAATGGTAATCTTTCTTTTTAGAATATCATTTAAAATTAATTGATTAATTAAAGTGCAAATTGTTCTTATTTTAAATTATCACCAGTTTTAACAATTAAATGAACTAATCTCCAAGATCTGAAATGACTATAAGGAGATTATTATCTAATTCTTTCACTTATTTAATTAGAATCTTCACCAAAAATTTCCTATCCAATTTTCTCAAAATCTAATACTACATTATTTGTTTTCTTTTAATCTTCTTTTTTACTTAATTCTATTTCATAACATTCAGCTAATTTATATAAATATTTATTTACAAACACCTAAACTTTAATTTGACACCTAAGACATAGCTAAATTAGATTGACTTTTAAAATCACTTAACATAGACAATTCAACATTAAATTCTGAATTCTTTCTTTCTCTTTTATCTTCAAATTTACTTTCTTCTTTTTCAACATTATATACTTCTAAACAAATATAAAAAGGAGCTCTTTCTTTAGTTGAAAAGATCTTTGTTTCTTAAACAACAATATTTAAAATTGTATAATGTCTCAATTGATCTTATATATATATATATATTAATTATACCTTTTACAAATGGAATATATACATTAGCAGGTAATCTAGTGTTTATTAATGATAAATCAGCTCGTAAAGATATTATTTTAGGATCAGCAAATTTTAATTTATCTGAAATAGAAATGATATCATTCCAAAAATTAATACATGACATAAAATCATACCCTTCTTATTAATCTAAAGGAATATATTTTGACAATTATATATGTTCAGGTAATATTAAACATTTTAAAGAATTTTAATCAAATTATGGTGTACCATAAGTAGAAATCAATTCTTTTATTTTTTCATCTTATTCTTTTATTTCATAATTTGTTTCATGATTCAATACCATTCTTTTAATTAGATTTTGTAAATATAATTTTACTCTATTTCATATATCTATATAATTACTTTTAAAATTCTGTTACTTAGTTGTTAAATATAATTGCACTTATTGAATAAAGTGTCCAATATACCAATTATGCAAAATAGAAATTATGAATACATGAAGTAAGTATAAATTAACTTATATTTTCCTAAATTTAATAAATATTTTTACATTCAACATTTCTTCATGAAATACTAAATAATTCATCAATTAAGGAATATAAAATTCTAAATCATTTCTTGGACTCTCATCATTTGAAATCAATTTACATTAATATAAATATTGATAGGCCCAAGATTTCTCATCTAAAGTATACAATAAAATAAGAACATCCAAAACTTGAATTTCTTCTGGATTCTGAATATTTAATGATTAATCAATACCAATTAAATTGCATTCTAATATTTTGCCATTAATTTAACAGACAACTCTTTTCTATTTCTTGATGTTAAAATTGAAACATCATCAGCCTAAAATAGTAAAAATATATCATTAAATAAATTTATACTTTACAACAATTCATACATCTTAGACACCATAATTTAGAACATAATCCATATTATTTCTTTCTTTTTATTGTTATTTCCTCTCCTATTTCAGCCATACAATATAAATAATCTTATATATTTATAAAAATTATTTTATGTCAAGTGATTCAGAAGAGGAAAGTTAAAATTCAAATTAAGATGAAAATGTTATTCAATCTAAAAAATCTTTCAATAAGAAACCTAAAGATTTAGAAATTAAATTATCAGAGGCTAAATTAGAGATTATTATGAATAACAATATTGAAAGAGCTAAACAAATTCTTGATGAAATTATTAGTCAACATGCAAGATATTAAAGAGCCTTCATAATGTATGGTCATATATGGAAATTATAAGGCAATTATGAAAAAGCAATACATCATTTTACAATTGCCACTAAAATAAAAACATCTCCAAAATTATGGAAGAAAATTGCTATTTTAGAGAAGAAATTAGCATAAAAATTAGAATAAGAATAAATATAAAGTGAAGCAATATTTTATCACTATTATCAAGCTGCTAAATATCTTGGTAAATTATTAAGATAAAGAAATAAAGCTCCAAATATTTAATTAATGTCTGAAAGAGTTGATTGTTTAGAAAAATGTTATGAATATGAAAAAGGTATTAAATAATTGAAAGTTTTGGTTGATATTGCAATTAGTTTATAATAACATCAATTACATTAAGAGAGTATTAAGAGAATGGCAAAATTATATGTAAAAAAGAATTAATTAGAAGATGCAAAATAAATATTAAAATCTATTCCTTTGACAGATAAATCTACTATTATGATATGTGAAATTTTAGAGAAATCTAAAAATTTAGAAGAAATGAGAGAATTATTAGATGAATACTTTGGATCAAAAACTATGACTGCTATATTAAAAAATCACAGTTATAGATTAGTCAATTTTTATTTATAATGTTTATAATAAAGTTTTAATGATTATCAATAAATTGTAGACTTTTATTTAAACAGTGATAAAAATACATAATTATAAGAATAATCTTGTAAAAGTTTAATTGAATTAATTGATAAATTAGATAATATACCTAAATAAGAACTATTATAAGTTTTATATAACTATAGAGATTAATTCAGTCCATAATTAAAGTAAGAAATTTTAACTAAATTCAATAATTTTAATTTTAATTCTGATGCATAATAAATTATTGAAGAACCTCCAATTCCTGTTTAACCAAATACTAAAGATTAAATTCTATTTTTATATAAGAAATTGAAACATACAACTGATGTTAATGAAAAGTATGATTTCTTAAGAAAAATATTGACTTAAGAAGAAAAATCATATAATAAATTGAAATACTTTGATGGAATTAAGAGAGAAGAATATGAATAATTATTTGGTAGAAAACATAAAAAGAGAAGATTAAGAAAATTTCATACTATTAGTAGTTAATTAAGAAAGAAAACAACAAGTCTTTCAGTCGAAATTGGTTATTAAAATTTCTTTACTATTATATTAAATGTATTTGAATCATTATTAGAGAATGATAAATCTTAGGAACTATTTAAATTGACACATATGGTTTATTAATTAAGATTAAAGAAAATTGCTAATAATGATAATAAGTATTATGAAGAATTTATTTAAAAATTGGCTTAATATGGATTATGGGCATCTTTAAAAGAAAGAAAATATAGTTATGCTCCAATTTATTTAAAATATATTGATGAATAAAATTTGATTTTATATCTAATTTAGATTATAGATTAAAATATTTAACCTAAATTAAGAGGTATTTTTAATAGTTTCACAAGAAAGATTTCTTGTTTTTAATAAAGTGTTATACCATATAAATTAGATTAATTATTAAAGTTAAGAGAGAATGATTAAAAGAATCCTCTATATAATTTATTAATATGTGTAAAATATTTATAAGAGATGACTGGAAGATTAGCAACTGATTAAGCAGAATTATTCAAGAAAAGTCTTTATTATTTTGATTGTTATAAAGATTGTTAAGTTGATTCATTAGAAGTAAAATATAATCTGGCTAGGTAATATTTATATTTTAGATAGAATATATTTACATATTAATATAGTAAATAAAGGGATGGAAATTCTAGAAGACATTTTAAGTATCCCTTAAGATCATCCAGTAAAATGGAAGGCTGGCTTTGCTTTGATGTAGATACATAAGAAATTGGGAAATAACGAATAAGCATTTTATTATTTAAAATAATATAATACTTTTTAGTGATTATTTTTTTTGCGAATTAATTAACAATAGTAAATATTATATAATAAATAAAAATTGAATTTGAAATATGTATAAAATAGATATGGAGAAAAAAATATGATATTGATATATCTACTGTAATTGTTTATTATTTAAATAAATAATTATAAAATCACAATTGATTTATTATAGAGTGATTCATGAATTTACAATAATTCTTGAAGTATTGATTGGAATTTAGAGTACCTTTAATAAATTTACGAGAATTGAAATACTTTATAAAACATGTTGAATGAAAACATTACTATTCTCTATATGAAAAACCCAGATCCAATATTTTATGAGATGATGGATGATCTGGTGATTTCATGTTTAAAAAAAGAAAATGTGAAAATAATTGTAACTGATTTAGAAGAATTAAGTGTTATAATTGGAGAAGTATTCAATAAAATAAATAATAGGAATTTATATTTTTAAGAAATGGAGAGTAAATATAATTTGATGCATTTTTATGTTATGGATATATGGCACCAAAACATTATTTGGATTATATGTACTTTAATTTTGCTGCATTTACAGCTGGAAAGATTACATTATATTCACCACAAACAGAAAATATATTATAAAACAAATTATTGCAATATGCAAAGTTTAGTGAAGGATAAGTACCATTTCCTCGTTGTAGTGCTTCATTCTCTGTTTAATAATTTAAAAAAAACTTATCTCAATTTGAAAACAAAGCAATAATGAAAGAAGTTGTAGGATATGAAGGAACAGGAGTTAAATTGTCAAGTAATAAAATTTAAAGTACAGAAATCTTCTGTAAATCTTTTTGGAATGGAGAGTAATCAATAATTTAAGATTTTGTTGGTGATTCTGTTGGTCGATCTATCAGAGTCTTAGTTATAGGTGGTAATGCAGTATCTGTAACCGAATTTTAAGATAATATTGTAATATAAATTTTATTATAAAAGGATTTTAAATCAAATGGTTATAGTGATGATTTTAAAATTGAATCTAAAATGGATAGTATAAAAAAAGAGGAATATTTTAGATTAGCAGAAAAGGCATGTTTAGCTATTGATCCTAATCTAACAATTGGAGGAGTTGATATTATTGATTCAAAAAAATATGGATTAGTTGTTTTGGAAATCAATTAATGGCCAGAAATTACATTTTCTGAAGATGTTACAAAATTACCATTATTCGATATATTTGGTAAAGAATTTATAAGAAAAATATAACAGAATAATAATAATAAAGTTAAAGTATGATGATCTAATTAATATTTGGTTATTGTTTTAATTTTTGATATATAATCATTATTTCTCTAGTTTTTTTCTAAACCATTTCCGCATATTATATGCATTTTCATCATCAGCATAATATTTCTCTTCTGTATCAAATGTTTCATAACCCAATTTATCTCTATATAATCCTAAAGCTGCTCTATTAGATACTCTAACATGCAAAGAAACATAATGTGATTCAAATATCTTATCCATATCTCTATGGGTACTTTACATGACTTTATTTGCTAATCCTAATTTTCTATGCGTTCTTAACACTGATAATGATGTAATATGTCCATGCTCTAACTTTGTACCCTCTTCATCTTCCTCATCTTATTTTGCCAATACGTATCCAACAATTCTACCACTATTCTATTCAAAATCTATTGATGTTAATTACTATGTCTTCAGCAACATATAATAATGATTGCCAAACCATTCCATGATATAAATAGTATTTATATGTGTAATTTTCTGGCAAACACCATAAATTGCAGTGTTACATATGTTATAAATCTTGCATTTCAGCTCTTCTTATTGATACCATAATTTAATTAGAAATTATTATTATTCATGAAAAGACCATAAATTGTACAAATCACCAAATTCTTAATCAATAATTAAATTAGAAAATACCTTTATCTAATAACTAAAAAGTATATGTAAATTCAAATTAAAAACAAATAACTCAAAGTATTAGCTAAATACATCTTTTATAATTCAATTTGATTTATAGCATATTGTTGAAAACCTTATTAATTCTCTATAATTAAAAAGATGTACCTTTGAAAAATTTAGTATCATCCATACTCATACTATACTCATAAATCTAAATTAAAAGTCTAATAATATGAAAATTAATATTAATAACAATAATTATACATACAATAGAAAAAAATACAAAAAATCAAAATAAGAATTCTAATTTTAATACATCATTACTTTCAAGAAATAATAAAAGTTAAACAGATTCTTGATGAAATATTAAATATTTGAAACCTATAGGTTCCAATAAAATTATAGCTTTTTATCTAAAATTAAAGAGATGAAATTAATTAATAAAATTAAATATATAAAAAATAGCATAGATAAATTAAACTATTATATATAATAAGTAAAATTAGCTAAAAGTGAATAATACAAAAAATTTAGCAATTCTCAACAACACTCTAATCAAAAAGTAACATTAAATATATTACTTAAAAGTTATCATTACTATAAAATTAAATGCTTCTTGTAAATAAAATAATATGGGATAGTTTAAGATATCAATATTAAATTAAACCATTATATTTTTGATTATAATAATATTAATAATGTAAAGGAATGTTTTCTCATTTTTTTAAATTGTATTGATTCAGATTAGTAAGTAAAAATGATTCAAAAATTTCATTCACTTATAGGTATTAAAATATGAATGAAAGCAATGAAAAGGAAAAATAATAAACTTTCGAAAATCAAATAAAATAAAAATTTTTAATCTCTTATATATGGATCAAGTAGAAAACTTTAAAAATACTTCAAGTTAAGATTGAATCATAATGATTTTGAATAATGTTTGAGGTATTTACATATATAAATAATATTATAAAAAGACTAAATTTATTGTTATTAAATTTTAAAAGGGATTAGAAAATTATAGATTTCTTAATTAATCTATATAATTACTTTATTTTTTATTATAATGAGTTTTAGAATATCAATCTCTCCTTAAAGAAAACGTAGCAGTACAGGAATGCCATAATCTGCTCGACCCATAAAACCAACTCTGAATTCGACTCTTGTTAATGTTGTTGAAGAAATTAAGAACCTGATGTAAAATAATAAAATAATAGAAGGAAACAACTCAATCCTTAGTTTTAGAATCTTTTAAATTAATTAATCAAAATAGCATTTGATTTAGAAAAATAAAATACAAAATTTTAGAATGCTCTTCAATCATCGAAGGCTTCTAGCATTTAAAATGGAGATTTAATTCAAAAAGAACCGTCATCTCATCAAGATAGGAATAAATCTAAAGACAGTAGTCCAACAAAGAGAGAATGTTCTGTTAAAAATATAGAGATGACATCTAGCAGCAGATTAGATCCTACTCCAAAATAAAAGTTTTTAATTAGAAGAGGTTCTCTAGATGTAGATTAATAAGTAACAAAAGTAATAGTTATTTTGATATTTATTAAGGATCAATTAAGAAAAATTAGTTAAGAAGCTATAGATCAAAATTTTATAATTAACTTACTAGATTTTAAGCCATCTAATTTAAAATCTATGTCTTATAAAAAATTTATTTAGATCTTTTCACTTAATGAAAAAGATTTATATTAATACTTATAGAAAATAGAATATTAAGGTATTTATTATGTTGTTCAAATGATAGAGTACTTATTATATCTTTTTGAACCACTTAAATTTGTTAAGGATTTATCAGAGAAATGCATTATTTATATTGATAAATTAAAGAAAATTATAAAACTATCTTTCGAAATACAATAGTGTACACCATCTTAAACTTTTGACAATTATCAGAAATTACTTTTAGATTTGTTTGAATGTGATAGAGCATATGTGTATTTATATGATTCGAAATTTCATGTATTTTGGACTAAAGGATAAGATAGTTAATAAAAAGTGTATTATCCATTCAAAGGCATATTAGGATTTGTAACTAAATAAGGTCAAATGTTAAATATAAATGATGTTTATTAAGATGTAAGATTTGATTAGGATTATGATTAAAAGTAACAGAATAAAACAAAATCAATGCTTGCTTGTCCAATATATGAAAAGGATGATATTATTGGTGTGATAATTATCTCATCAATTTAATAACAATTTAAAAAAGATGATGAACTTTTGATTTAAATAATTTCTCAATTGGCTGCAATACATTTCAATTAATATATCTTTTAAGAGTATAATTCTAAAACATGTGAAGCTTTATAATAAATCTTGAAGTTTTCTTTAATTTTATAATAATCTGTTGATTAAAAATAATTTATAATTTTAGCACAATAAATACTATCTAAAACATATGAATTAAAATAAGTATAGATTTATTTTAAAGATATGTAAGATTAAGAAGGTCTTTTTACATTTGTTGAACAACAAAGAAAAAAAATACCAAAAACATGTGGAATTATTGGATATGTTTATAAAACAGGATAATTCTATATTTCTGATTCTTGTTATAGAGATAAATATTTTAATAAATTAGCTGATATTGAAACTAATCTACCTACTATAACTATACCTATTAAAAATGAAGATAAATGTATGGGTGCTATATAATATATTGATACTAAAGGTATTGATAATATTATTGGAAAACAACTAAAAAACTATTAATTGTCAAATTTAGATTTGATTCAAATTTTTGCAATAATGCTCAATTTTGTAAATAGTAAATTGATTATATAAAAATAATGATTTGCATAACAATAAATATTTTTATTTATTCTAACTATTTTGTAATAATATTTACCTTAAATTAAAATTAAATGAACAATCCATTTCAAAGTCCAATAGGGAATCCTAATGATCCAAATAATTAATTACTATTAATGTCTTTAGCTTAAGTAGATTCACAAAATATGTTCTTCTTTTTGATGCAAAATACTGATTTTGTTGAAAAATAAGATGAAGTATTTGATTGATTATTATTAATTCAGAATTAATTCAAAAAGACAGCTATAGGATTTGTTAGAAATACATTGGGTATATTTTTTTTAG